CGCAGTGAGAAGCCCGCGCACTGCAATGAAGAGTGGCCCCCGCTTGCCGCAATTAGAGAAAGCCCACGCGCAGCAACGAAGACCCAACACAGCCAAAATAAATAAATAAAACAAGCAAATAAATAAATAAATAAAAAGAAATAACCAATTTAAAAAAATGAACAAAGATCTGAACAGGCACTCACCAAAGATGAGATGGCTGATAAGTGTATGAAAAAATGTTCAGCATCATATGTCATTCAGCAATTGAAAATTAAAACAAGATACCACTAAACACTTATTAGAACGGCTAAAACCCAGAAAATTGATGATACCAAACGCCAACAAGGATGTGGATCAAATGAACACATTCACTGTTGGTGGGACTGCAGTCATTTTGGAAGACAGTCTGGCAGTTTCTTACAAAGCTAAACCTAGTCTTACCATACCAACCAGCAGTTGCACTCCTAGGTATCTGCCCAGTGGAGATGAAAACATATATTCACACAAAAACCTATATGTGAGTACTGACAGCAGTTTTTATACATCATCTATATATAATTGCCAAAAAATGGAAGAAACCATGATGTCCTTCAATGGGGGAATGCTTAAACTGTGGTACATACAAACTATGTGCATCCATAAAATGGGACAAGATCTGTTAATAATAAGAAATAAGCTATCAAACCATGAAAATGCATGGAAGAACCTTAAATGGATATTACTAAGTAAAAGACACCCGTTTGAAAAGGCTAGGTACAGTATGTTTCCAATTATATGACATTCTAGGAAAGGCAAAACTGTAGAGACAGTAAAAAGATCAGTGGTTTTCAGGTATTCAGGAAGGACAGAGGGAGGGATAAACAGCTGAAGCAAGAGGGATGTTCAGGAGGTGAACTTACTGTGCCTGATACCAGACCCTCCTGCTGCCTCAGAAGCAGGAAGCTTGGCCCTAAGTGAATACTCACTCACTGCCACTTTCTTATTTTTTTGGGTTTTTGATTCTTTTATTTATTCACTGCCTTTTCAAGGGAGAAGCTGAGAATGGCAAACTTGATGAGCCCTTATTCTATAGTTCCTGCTGGAGCTGTATGTGTGGCTGAAAGGCCTTATGAGATGTGGGTAACACAGCTACTGAGGGACAATCCCTGGTGGCATCGGGCCCAGGTCATGCATCAAGATTTTGCCCTCTAGCAGCCTGATTCAAGGGGTAGCCTCTGCACTTCTCAAAGCAGGGTCTGCACTCCCTGAGAGCTAGGAACTGACAACGATAAGGGCCATGGAGACCTACAAGGTGAACATCTTCCCTCAGTGAACAGAAGGAATTCCTAGCTATGGTGCCCTGTGGTTTCACTAAGGTGGAAATTGTGTTTTATTCTGGCTATTCAGAGCTCACTCCATTTCCAAAACTGAGATTTCAATACTTGCTTAAGCCTATGAAACATCGGCCACTCCCTCTTGACCAATGCCCCACAGCCCGCCCTCTTTGGGGAACTCCTGTTAGGTGCACGCAGACCCTACCCTCTGCCCTCCAGACACTCCTCCTTGGGCTCCACCTCTTCACCTCTGCAGCACCCAGGCCATTTCCTCAGATCAAATGCACTCCTCAGCTGGGCCTCCTCTGCTGTCAAATATGCCCACTGAGGTTTTTTTTTTTGGACGCGTGGCTTGCAGGATCTTAGTTCCCCGACCAGGTATTGAAACCTGGGCCCCTGGCAGTGAAAGTACTGAGTCCTAACCACTGGACCGCCAGGGAATTCCCTCCGCTGACTCTTCAATTGCAATGATTATTATTTTTCTTTTCCAAAAGTATTTTCGGGTTCATTTCCAAATCTATCTGGTCTTTTTGATGGTGTATTATTTCTAACTGAGCTATAATTCACATACTATAAAAGTCACCATTTTAAAGTATAGAATTCAGTAGTTTTTAGTATATTCATAAGGCCATCAATCATCACCGCTAAGCCTTGAGCACTTTCATAATCCCCAAAAGAAACTTTGTATCCATCAGCACTGACCCCATCCTGCCCTGGCAGCCACTAATCTACTTTCTGTCTCCATGGATTTGCCTATTCCGGAATTAAATATAAATGGAATCATAGAACATGTGGTCCTTTGTGACTGGCTTCTTTCACTTAGCATAACGTTGTCAAGGTTTTTCCCTGTTGTGGCATGTATAAGCATTCCATTCCTTTTTATTGCCAAATAATATTATTGATATACTGTATGGATGTACCACATTTTAAAAATCCATTCATCAATTGACGGACATTTGGGATATTTCCACTTTTTTGCTATTATGAATAATACGGATATGAACTTTTTTTTTTGGCTGTATTGGGTCTTCATTGTGGCATGTGGATCTTTCATTGCAGCATGCAGGCTTCTCTCTAGTTGTGGTGTGCAGGCTCAGTATTTGCGGCAAATGGGCTCTCTAGTTGCGGCACTCAGGCTTAGTTGCCCTGCAGCATGTGGGATCTTAGTTGCCCGACAAGGGATCAAACCCATGTCCCCTGCATTGGAAGGTGGATTCTTAACCACTGGACCACCAGGGAAGTCCCCTGATATGAACTTTTGTGTACAAGTTTTTACATGAATACGTTTTCAATTCTCTTGGGTATCTACCTAGGTGTGGGATTGCTGGCTCAGACAGTAACTCTATTTTAACCATTTATGGAAACGCCAGATTGTCCTCTAAATCAGCTGAACCATTTTACAATCCCACCAGAATCTACGAGGGTCCTGATTTCTCCCCATCCTCACTAACACTTCTTATCATCTGACTTTCTGATCACGGATCCTAGTGGGTGCGAAGTGGTAGTTCACTGTAGTTTTGGTTTGCATTTCTCTGACGACTAATGATGTTGAATGTTTTTTTATGTGCTTATGGTTGTTTATCTTCTTTGGAGAAATGTCTATTTAAACCCTTTGTCCATTTAAAAACTGGGTTATTACTCTTTTTACTGTTGAGCTATAAGAGCTCTTCACTCAGATGTGATTTGCAAATATTTTCTCCCATTTAGTAGGTTGTCCTTTCATTCTGCTGACAGTGCTCTTTGAAGCACAGAAGTTTTAAGTTTTGATGATGCCCAAGTTTTCTATTTGTTCTTTAGTTGCTTGTGTTTTAGGTGTCACATCTAAGAAACAGTTTTCTAATCCAAGGTCACATCTATGTTTTCTTCTAAGAGTTTTACAGTTTAACTCTTACATTTAGTTCTTCAATCCATTTTGAGTTAATTTTTATACATGGGATAGATTACGAATCTTTCCTCGCGTTTTCTTTATCTTTCTTGTCTTTGACCATCTTACGCGTGTTTATTTTACAGTCACCATCTGACAATCTACCATCAGAGGTACAGAGGTCTACACCTTCTGCTCCCGGCACGCGTGGATGATCAGGGTTTCTTCACGGGCTTTGTTCCTTTGGATTCTGAGTCATCTCAGGCAGTGTTTCTTTAATGGGAACACAGTACCCCCTGGGGTCAGGATGGATTTATATTTGCTTTGCCAAGTGCCTCTGGGGTGTTAATTAGACTAGAATCTTCTTTTGTGTCCAGTTCTTAGCTTGATTTCCAGATGACAGAGGTAGTGTTAAAGTGACCTCCAATCCACTTGAGGGCAGGCCTGTGGTGACACAGCCTCAGGGAAAGACTGTTTTCCTAACTCAGAGGGCAGGCTGAGACATTCCAGGCTCTGGCCATGTTCCTATGCTGTCAGTCAGGTTTCTTCTAGTCCCCCTCTCACTGGAGGTACACTTTTTTAAGCAGCTTGACTTCATGCTAGTGTCTTAGGTTCCAACCCCTACGTGGCTCAGGCCTAAGGCCCTGTCTCAAATCTGTGTGGCCATTAAAACTCAAGGTCCTTGTTCACCAGGCCAGTAACCTCCTAACACCCACTGCTCTGGTTGTTTTGTTCACTCTTAGATTTTGGCTCCTAGGGACTTCACTTACTTTCTTGTGAACTAGTCACAACTTTAGGGACATGTTACGTTTCATCCAGCATTTCAGAATGTTTAGCAGCAAGGAGGTTTCAGATCCTCTATACTGATGGGCAGAAAAATTGCTGGGTAAAAAGATCACATGAAACACCTGTATAAAACAGATGTGACCACACTGCAGACCCCACGCCAAAGTCACCGCTGACCTGAAGGGACAGCTGTCCCATGCTGGCTTCTGGGGCCTATTCTCCAAGGACGAATCCCACTCAGACAAGCAGTTTCGAGAACATGGGTGAAGCCCCGGGGACAGTACAGTGTGGCTTTAGCTCGAAGACACCGTCCATGGCAAGGACAGGTCTCATCCCAGATGCTCCCTCCACTGGGCACCTTCTGGCCATGTGGTTCCTGCAAGAGGCTCTGGCCCACGTCCCTGATGTGGCTAATGGTAACGCTGAGCCCAATCACCTTGCAGTGGGTCACAGCTCCAGGATGGCACTCAAGGCCCTGGCCCATGTGGAGGAAGGTGGCCCGGCCCCCCCTCAGACTCTCCCAGCCTTCGACTTGCTGGACCAGGCAGTGAGCTCCGTGCCACAGCAGGCTCGGCAGGAGGCCCTCCCAGGAGGCAGAGAAGCTCTGTGTCAATAGCAGAGGCTGAAACACTCAGTGTGGCTCCTCAGGAGAACTCCTGCCCCTCCCGTGACTGCTGCCTGTACTCAGGAAGGTGCAGAGGACATGCTGCAGGGGCTCAGAAGCCCGTTGGACCTCACAGAGGCCTCCCCTCCATCACTTTAATTTCAGCTCCCGACCTCCTGGTCAGTGTCTGAGCAGAAGGCCAGGACCAGAGCCTCCCACCCTCTGACCATCTCAGCACAGCCTCTGCACCCACCAGCCCTCGTGCCTCTGCCCTTTGGTCCCCCACCCCCACCCCATGGCTCCGTGAGGCAGCCACACCTTTCTCCTCAGAGTGGTGGCTCCTGAATACAGAGGGACAGGAGTCTGCACCCTCATAGGAAGGCGGACATGGCACAGCTGGCCCAAGTCTGTACCCTCCCCATCTCTGGGGCCCCACACAGCCACCACCTACCTTTCCATAGCTGTCGGGGTCAAACCGGCCAAGGCAGGAGCCCCCGGCGTGGCTTTGGAGCGCTCCGTGAATCGGGAGTCGAACGCTTTCATAGGTTCGATCTTGGACGGGGTTGTGAGGATGGAGGGGGACGGTGCAGCAGGAGCAGAGGCCGCATTCACGCTGGGGGTGGGGTGGAGACGGAAGGCCACATCAGCACAACCCACTGAGGATCCGGGAGTCCGGGATTTGTGGGGCTTGGAGCCAAGTGAATGGGGCACAAATATCAAACTTCCATAAATAATTTCAAGACGTAATCGACTATTGCCAACTTTCTTTAATACCTTCACATATTAAAGTTCTGGGACTATGGCTTTCTGAGAAGACTGTGAGGAAATGCACTCACACCCGTACCACTTTAGTGTTCTCAGAGCTTCTGGGGGTAGCACGAGGCCTCAACAGTGGTTCCTACAACCCCCTTTTCCTCACCATAGAGCTCTGTCTCCACAACCTGAATACAGCAGCTCCACCCAAACCGCTCTGACCACCAGCTCTGACCACGGTCTCACAGGGACAATCACACACCCTTTATGCTCTCCTCCAAGTGCTCCCTGTGTCTCTGACTCCACAGAGGAAAGGGAGCTCAGGCTGGAGCTTGCCAGCTCCGTTGTCCCAGCACATCCCACACGCTGGGTCAAAGCCATGGGGCCTCCTCTGCCCACATCCGGGCTAACTGCCCTCCCCGCCGCTGGACCCCAGGCCAGATGCCCGCAGGCACCTATATGACCCTCCCCTCCTCTCCTGGGACCTGCACGGCCAACTGTTGAACATTTTGCAAACCTGGCGTTCTGTCCTTCCCCAGACACCCTTCCTCCCAATGCTCTGCTTCCTGACTGGTCTTGCTGCTCCATACCCTTCTCTTCCCTCAAGGGAGAGGGGATACTCGAAGCCTGGTGCATGCCTCCACAGCCATGACACCAGAGGCAGGAGCTGTGATAATGCACGGCTCTGTCCCTGGTGATGGAGGGTCACGTTGACAGTGTCAGTTGTGTGCCAGTGCAGCAGCTAAATTTGGGCCCCACTGCTGGTCGTTTCCTAAGGTGCAAGTCCCAGCGCCTGTGTGTCCACTCCAGGGAGAAGCCAGCCTTCCTCCCCTCGCCCACCACTCTTCAGGCTCCAGGCCTCTGCTCTCGCTGTTGCCCCTACTCCCCAGCCCCGTCCCCTGGCTCAGCCTAATTGAGAAGCCTTCCTGAGACCTGCCTGCCAAGGCCCTCAGAGGATCAGCCCTGCACCCCTGTGGCTACCTCTTCCCCTACCAGCCTAGATCCTCCCCGGAGACGAGGACCCACCAATCAACCCCTGCAGACGTCGGGCCTGGCACAGCTTGTCACTCAGAGCAGGCGCTGGGCAAATGGCTCTTGGCTCTTAGTCACGCTCCTCTGGTCCTTTCAGACTTCTAGTTTGGTTTCCACGTGATGGCCAGTGAAGACAATGGGCTCCCCGAGCAAATGTATTCTGAGTGTAAGGGGAGTCTGTGCCGTGGCACATGAGCAGGCCGGCCGAAGGTGGGCTGGCCCCGTGACAGGTGACGTGTCACGGGCCAGTTGCCATCCTTAGTATTCCCATCCTGGGACTGCATCTTCCCGCAGGACATGAAGTCCTCAGGGCCCTAATCATCAGACTCTCCTGATCAAGGCTCCCTTCTGAGCAGGCCCTCACCTGAAACCAAGCACCTGCCTCTTTTCTTTACTGAAGAGGCCACGAAGTGTCCCTGGAACTGTCCAAACCGCACTTGCCCAGGTACAGGACCAAACTTGGCACCTACTCACCTGTCCTTACTGACAGAATCACCCGCAGGCCTGGTGCCGGTCGCCGCCACAGGCTCTGTGGAAGGCTTCGAGGTGCTGAAGGGGACGGGGGTGCTGGAGTCCAGCGGCAGCAGCTGCGGGCTGCTGTGAGAGGTGAGCATGGTGCCTGCCAGGGAACCCGAGAGCGGGATGCTGTTGAAGAAGGCCGTGGAGAAGTCCCTGTTGTCGAGAAGGAGAAAAGTCAGCCTTGGACGTCAAGCACCATGTTGAGTACTTACACAACCTAAGCAAATTTTTTTCTGGGTCCAATGGCGATGTATTTTCATGGCAGAATTTCTATGTAAGTTACAGAAAAGTAAAAAGGAAATTAAAATCACTCCATACACGACATTTAATTAGATCTAAGATGAACTGGTACTTTATATACCACTAAGAAAGAAAAAAACTGTGACTGATTATAACTGTCAGGTGTCACTGATAAGATGCACTCTGATCTCAAGAGGTGTTACCATGTGCAAATGTGTCTTGGGGCTGGGGAAACACAGTGCACAGAGTGGGCCTCCCTTTCATTATGGGCAGCGTGGACGTGCCATGGTTTACCCAACCAGCCTCTCGTGAGGAACAGCTGGACGGTTTCCCGGTGTTTCTGTAACAAACACTGCAGTGTGCCGGCTAAGGGCCCTGGGTATCATGGCTCAGCCATACACAGGCTCTGAGGCCTTGGGCACCTCAGCCACCACGTCTGCAAAAGAGATGACAGGACCCTCCCCACGAGGCCGCTGTCTGGACTAACGTACTTCCTGTAGCGCATGACACGGGGCACACACAGAGACGCCTGCTGTTGTAACTGTCATCCCACTTGTTTCATACGTTACGTGGGATAAATTCCTAGAAGGAACTGCAGCAGCAAATGGAATGTTCATCGATGATTTTGGATAAATAGTTCTCAAGGGCCCTGCTTTGAGGTTCACCTCACAAGCCGTGCATGGGTACCTATTTCCCCAAACCCTCATCAACGGTTTTATCAACTTTTTTTTTTTTTTTTTTTTTTTTTGCGGTACGCGGGCCTCTCACTGTTGTGGCCTCTCCTGTTGCGGAGCACAGGCTCCAGACGCGCAGGCTCAGCAGCCATGGCTCACGGGCCTAGCTGTTCCGTGGCATGTGGGATTTTCCCGGACCGGGGCACGAACCTGTGTCCCCTGCATCAGCAGGAGGACTCTCAACCACTGCGCCACCAGGGAAGCCCTTTACCAACTTCTTGATACCTGATAATCTGAGAGATGAAAAATAGTATCTTACTACAATTTTAATTTGCCATTATTTTGATGCAAGGTTGAAATTTTTTCATCTAGAAACATCTGATTTCCCTTTTTTGGGAGCTGTTTGTTCATACCTGTCATCCATGGTTCTATTTGGTTATTGGTCTTTATTATTGATTGTAAGACCTATTTACATATTCAAAAATTCCTATATGGACAGGAAATATTTTCCCCAGGATGTTGTGTTTTGAAGACTTTTTTTACCTCTGAGATTATGAAAGTATTCTTCTATGGAATATTCTAAAATTTTAAATAATAAAAAAGTTAAACATTAAAAAAATCTCTGAGATGTTCAGAATGTTCTCTGAAAAATTTCTGAGCTGTGCAAAATTTTAATGTGTGAGATAGGGCTCCAAATGTTTTTTTAAATTTATTTTATTGAAGTATAGTTGATTTACAATGTTGTGTTAATTTCTGCTGTACAGCAAGGTGATTCAGTTACACACACACACACACACAATTCTCTTCCATTACGGTTTATCATAGGATTCTGAATACAGTTCCCTGTGCTACACAGTAGGACCTTGTTGTTTATCCATCCTATATATAATAGTTTGCATCTGCTAATCCCAAACTCCCAATCCATCCCTCCCCCACCACCTACCCGCTGGCAACCACAAGTCCGCTCTCTATTTCTGTGCATCTATTTCTGTTTTGTAGATAGGTTCATTTGTGTCATATTTTAGATTCCACATAAAAGTGATATCATATGGTATTTGCCTTTCTCTTTCTGACTTACTTTACTTAGTACGACCATCGCTAGGTTCATCCGTGTACCTGCAAATGACATTATTTCATTCTTTTTTATGGCTGAGTAATATTCCATTGTATATAAACCACATCCTCATTATCCATTCATCTGTCGATGGACATTTAGGTTGTTTCCATGTCTCAGCTACTGTGAATAGTGTGCTATGAACATTGGGGTGCATATATCTTTTTGAATTATTGCTTTCTCCAGATATATACCCAGGAGTGGGATTGGTGGATCACATGGCAACTCTACTTTAGTTTTTTGAAGAACCTCCATACTATTCTCCATAGTGGCTGCACCAATTTACATTCCCATTAGCAGTGTAGGAGGGTTCACTTTTCTCCCTTTCCAGCATTTGTTACTTGTAGACTTTTTAATCATGGCCATCCTGACCAGTGCGAGGTGGTTCTTCACTGTAGTTTTGATTTGCATTTCTCTAATAATTGGTGTTGAGCATCCTTTCATGTCTCTGTTGGCCATCTGTATATTTTCTTTGGAGAAATGTCTGTTTAGGTCTTCTGCCCATTTTTCGATTGGGTTTTTTTGTTGTTGTGGCCTCTCCCGTTGCGGAGCACAGGCTCTGGATGCACAGGCTCAGCGGCCATGGCTTACGGGCCCAGCCGCCCTGCGGCATGTGGGATCTGCCCGGACCGGGGTATGAACCCATGTCCCCTGCACTGGCAGGTGGACTCTCAACCACTGTGCCACCAGGGAAGCCCACGATTGGGTTTTTTTTTTATTATTGAGTTGTATAAGCTGTTTCTGTATTTTTGAAATTAAGCCCTTGTCGGTCGCATCATTTGCAAATATTTTCTCCCAGTTTGTAGGCTGTCTTTTCATTTTGTTCCTGATTTCCTTTGCTGTACAAAAGCTTGTAAGTTTGATTAGGTTCCGTTTATCTATTTTTGTTTTTATTTCTTTTTAAAAATAAATTTATTATTTTTTTTGGCTGTGTTGGGTCTTCGTTGCTGTGTGCGGGCTTTCTCTAGTTGCAGTGAGTGGGGGTTGCTCTTCGTTGTGGTGCGTGGGCTTCTCTTGTTGCGGAGCACGGGTTCTACGTGCGCAGGCTTCAGTAGTTGTGGCACATGGGCTCAGTAGTTGTCGCTTGCAGGCTCTAGAGCTCAGGCCCAGTAGTTGTGGCACATGGGTTTAGTTGCTCTGCGGCATGTGGGATCTTCCCGGGCCAGGGCTCAAACCCGTGTCCCTTGCATTGGCAGGCAGATTCTTAACCACTGCACCACCAGGGAAGCCCTTGTTTTTATTTCTATTGCCTTGAGAGACTGACTGAAGAAAACATTGGTACGATTTATCTCAGAGAATTTTTGCCTATGTTCTCTTCTAGGAGTTTATGGTGCCATGTTTTATATTTAAGTCTTTAAGCCATTTTGAGTTATTTTTGTATATGGTGTGAGGCAGTGTTCTAATTTCATTGATTTACATGCGGCTGTGTAGCTTTCTCAACACCACTTGCTGAAGAAACTGTCTTTTCTCCATTGCATATTCTTGTAGGGCTTCAATTTTGTTTCTAGAGAATATCACTTCCTCACTTCATTTATTGAATTAGGTAATGATTCATCACAGATGCAAAATATTACCTTTAAAGTTCTCATAAATATTTGAATCTATTTCTGAGTTTTCTATTGTATTCCACTGTTCTATTCATGTGTCAGTACCTCACTATTTTAATTATTATAGCTTGTAAGATTTAATTTCTAGTGGGGCTAGTCTTTCCTGATTAATCTTTTCCAGAAATATTTTAGCTACTCCTACGTACTTTTTCACAGAACTTCAGAATCAGTTTGTCTGATGCTGAAAACTCATATGGTTATTTGTATTGGCTCATGTTACATTTATAGGCTGAGGGAGATTTGTCATCTTTATGATACCGAGACATCCTATCTAATAAATGGTATGCATTTCTGTGAATTTTCTTTTAGGTATCTCAGTAGACTTTAAAATTTTTTCTTCATAAAGATCTCCATTTCTTGTTACATTCTAGGTACTACATTTGTGAAAGTGATTTCTTCCTTTGCATCTTCTAAAGGTAATTGGTGCTAATTGATCTTGCTATGTTGCACCCAGTCATCTCACTGTCTTCTTTTACTGTCTATGGTGGTTTTTCCAGTTGATTCTCTTTCAGATTATACCATCTTTGACTAATGACACATTTACCACCTCCTTTCTAATTTCTTCTTTCTCTTAACTAACCATAGGAGCTGGGATCTCTAGAACAATGTTAAATTACAGTCACAGGTGTAGACATGTGTTCAATTCTTAAATTTAATTTGAAGTAAGATAGTTTAACAAGTTTAACAAACATCTATCTGTTCCCATTTAACTGAGTTTTAAATAACAATGATGTTGGGTTTAATAAAAATGCCTCTTAAGCACCTACAGAGATGATCATATAATTTATTTATTTTGATCTACTGACATGTAGGAGTAAATCAAGTTTCCCCAAATCATTTGAAGCATCTCGCTTTCCTGAAATAAATTTTACTTGTTTATAGTGTATTAGCATTTTAACACATTGTAACATTCTGTTTGTGATGATTTTATTTAGGATTTTGCATTGACATTTGGATATAAGATTGATCAGAAATTTACTATATCTTTGTCACATTTTGATTATGAAATTTCAATATTGTGTTCATTAAAAAAAAAGATTTTGCAAGCTTTCCTTCTTTTTCAAAGCACTAGAATATTTTCAATAGTATTAGAATGAGCTGTTCTTTAAGTTTGTTAGAATTTTCCTGTCAAGCCGTCTTACTCTGGTGGCCTTTGATAGGTTAACTGTTTGAGAGTGTCCTCTATTTCTTCTATAATAATTCATCTGTACAGATTTTCTTCAATTTTCGTAATTTTTTTTCCCCCAAATAATTTACTTTCAAATTTATTTGCAGAGTTCAGCAAAGATGTCTTTCACCCTTTTGATTTATTCTTCATCTTTGATTATTTCCCATTTATGTCTATTTTAAACATGTGCAACTTCTCTTTTCTTTCTTGATTAGATAAGCTAATAATTACCTTTTCCATTGCTACTTGTTTTGACATGGGAATCAAGAGGAAAAAAAGAATCAAGTTCTAGTGCCAGAAATATGTGCCCCATGGCAGAAAGCTGGCTCAAGGCCAGGCAGGAAGTCATCTACCACCTCTGCCTCCTCACCAGGTGAGGCCTGGAAGGATCCACAGAACAGAAGTGCCACCACCACTTCTACCACCTCTACAAGCCTCATTCTCATAAGCTCTGAAATGTTCAAGCACTGTCACATACTTGGTTTCACTTGGGCCTGATAAAGGTGGGCAGGTGGCATTCTCTGCATAGGTTCATAATGGGAAAAAGGTTTGATCAAGGGAAAACCACTCTATGGGAGGAGTCTGGAAGTTGATTTTGGTTCTACCTGGTCAGGTCACTTCCCTCCAGGTCCTCGGCACTTGCACACCTGACATGAGGAGGCCATCAGCACATCACGTGACTGAAGGTCTCTGCAGACTTCAGGGAAGATTTGGAACAGCTCATGGAGGAACTAGTGGGAAATGCAGAGGACTACTGTGTGTGGTGCCCTGAGTAGACAGGCTGAAAAGAGTGAGTCATCTTGATGTTTGGCCTATTCCTCTCACATGGGGCCTTATCACCCTTTGAATCAACATACCTCACTTTGGAGAGAATGACCAATACAAAAGCAAGCCTGATGACAGATGCCAAGACAAGGACAAATCCAGCTGAATCCACTGTCCCTCTCTGTTCCATCAGGGAAATCTACCCCCCACCCAGCAAGTCCACTTCTGGGAAGTGTCCTGAGGGAACAGTCACAGGTGTGCTCAGAGATTCATTTACAGTCACAAAACACTGTACAAACTACACGTCCACAGTTAAGGGGCTGGTTAAGTAAATCATGGTGCGTTCACAGGTGGGGCACCTGGACCGTCAGCAAACCAATGCTTCAGAGGAGTTATTAAAATGGATGCAAGGTCAAGATACAGGAACAAACAGGAGATACGGACACCAAAACGTTAACAGTGATCGTATCTTTGTGCTTTTACTGTTTTCCACAATGTGTACATATTCCTTTCTTAATCAGAAAGAGAAGGCTATAAAAGTGGAAAGAGAAACAGAAAAAAAAAAAAATCAGTCTGACTTTTCTCTCCCTGGTATCTTCAACAAAGCAGGGCCAGCCTCCCCACCTGCCTGCACCACCATCAGGTGTGCACAGGGCTCTGCAGTAGCGCAAGGCTTTGAGGATGCTGGGAAGCTGGAATCAACTCACTTCCAGACTCTGTGGGTGAGGCTGGCCCAAGAGCCTGTGAAGTCCTGGTTATGATAGTGCTACCTGGCAAAAGGAGAGAGGAAGACCTCCCAGAGAAGGCCACAGAAAGCTTGGTGAGTGAACGAGTACCCGGTGTCCAGCTGTGCTATGCAGAGAGGCGTGATTCTCCTCCGACCATCTGCCGTCCGAGTCTCAACTTGTTTCTTTAAAAGATTCTGGCAAAGTAGAGAGACGTAAAGGAATGGAAACATTTCTGAATCTCCAAATACCAACAAATAAGACTCCTAATGAAATGTATTCTAACTCCTCTGTGGCCTTTCAGATACAACTAAACTAAGCCACTCATCAAAGAATAAGCGTTTTTATCAGGGTGTGTGCTCGACAGTAAGGCATCAAGGACAGACGCTCCCAGGTGAACCAGCTCCAACATCTTCCTTTCTATCTCCAATTCCCACCTGGCCAGGTTCCCGGAGCGGTGAGCACATGCCCGGCCAGCCACACGCACCCAGCAGCCATGGGGCTAAACAAGGGAGCTAACAGATGAGACCCCTGTCTCTATGCCACAATTTCAAACTTTCTTTCAATGAAGGCTCACAACCCAGGGTTTGTCACACACTGTGTCTGAACCACCTGGGGAGTGTGACACCCTGCACAAGCTCCCGGAGAGGGTTTTAGCTCCCAACATCTGTCCTGTTCCCTTCCCATCTCCACCCCGACCCCCCAGGGAAACATGGGCTTCCAGAGGAAGAAGGGGGAGTCAACAGACGTCTCTTGAGGGCAGAGCCTGAAACCCACTGTTCTCAGTATCTAGAATCTCCTAGAAAGGCTAGAGGTGAGGTTTGAAGTTCCCCCAAAGGATGCTCTCCTCTGGATCTCCTTGGGGCGGGGCCTTTGATAAGGTGCCCTGGGCCCCGCTGCTGCCACACGCAGACAAGGGCAATAAGGCCGAGTGGCCCCCTGCTGGCTCCCAGCTCCCTGCCCATGTCTGTGCACTGTCTAGACGGCCTCTTGCCCTCCTGGCCTTGTGCCGCCCCTGGGCACGTGCCTGTGTCCTCAGTGTCGCTGGGCCCAGCCCTCACCTTCCTGATGTCCTCCAGACTCTCCCCGTTGACGACACCAGCAACCGAGGTAGCGGAGCCTGTCTCTCTGGCCGCAGAGCCCTTCTGGTCCAGCTGCTGCTGCTGCTGCCTCCGCTGGTACTTGAGCATCTCGGGGTTCTCGATGACGGCGGTGGAGAGCTGGGTCTCGGTCATGATGGCCAAACTCTTGCCGTAGGTGGACTGATGGATGCGGCTCTAGAGAAGGCAGAGAGAGGGAAGTGCAACAAACTGGCCAGGACACTGCCCACCAGTGGGCAAGCTGCGTGCTGGCCCCCGGCTCAGAGCGAGAGACCCCTGGGCAGGGTCCCGGAGCCCTGGACGCTGGCTCTCTTGAAACCTCCCACCCTGTTTGCCTGTTTAGATGACTCAGGAGAGGCCTTGTACCCTCCCTTGATGTTTACAGCCTTCAGGGATGAAAGTAGATGCGTAACCCTCAGGAAAACACCTACAGCAGGTCTGGTGCAGAACAAACAGCAACAAACATTTGCTGAACTGAAATTACGCATTCAAATTGCTAATGTAAGGCTATTAAATCACTCCAAGGACCCCAAACGCTTCTTGGGAATCAGACACTGAAACCCAGAGCTGCTTTCACTGCTCCAGCTGCAGCCATCAGCCCCACGTGGCTGGAGGTCGCCATGGGGGCCGCTAACAGAGCCCCTGAGAGCAAGGAAAGGCCTGGCACGCAGGCCTAGGGGAACCCTTCTCTGCCTGCATTGCCCCCAACATGTCCTGACCCTTCTGAGCAGGGCCAGTCCCACCTTCCCTGGTCTCGGCAGCCCTGTGCCACAAGCCAGGCTGTGTGAGGGCAGGGACGGTGGCCCCAGCACACTGGAGTGGCCAGTGTGACAAGGAGCAGACTTTCACATGGTGTGCTAATGACCAAAGCAGAGGTCAGGAGGACACCTGCCTCACAGGAAGGATGCTGGGCGGGCAGCTTTGGGGCCCACTCCGTAGGACCTGGAGTGCCTGCCTGTGGCCAAAACTCCCTCCCCGGCACCCCTGGAATCTCAAGGCAGGATTCGGAGTTCGGCCCTACTGTTCCTCAAATGCAGGGGCCCTGCCTGCATCCAAGATGGGTTACGACTCTCTAAGGAGAGGGGAGGTCACCTGACGACAGTGACCAGTGGAGGGAAGAGCTGGGGCTGCGGACACACTTGTCCCCCCACTGACAAGTGACCGTGGGTGCCAGGCCAGTCCACTGTGGTGAGCGAGGCCGACTCTGAAGCCCAAGGGGTAACATCGTAGTGGGGGTCCCCACAGAAGCCTAAGAGGGGTCTCCCAGCAGCAATGGCACCCTGAGGGGAGAGCTGCCGCCTGCCCTGGGCTCTCGGAGCCTCTTGCCCCCACATACTGGTGTGGGCCCACTTGCGGGAAGGCAGGCTCCTAGTCTGAGGCAGGGAAAGTAGTGCCTGTCATCAAGTCCCCAAGGATGAGCACTGGCCACCCTGTCCTGGGCAGAGCATGGCAGAGAGGAGGCCTGGCCCCAAGGCTGCGGATGGGCTCATGCTTCCACTCTCAGACCTCAGGGTCACATGCTATTCTCCTCAGTGAAACAGGACCAGTCCTGCCTGGAGGGGTTTTGTGTAATTTAAGTGAAGAAACGTGGCCCTGGTTCTGGCACACAGTAAGTGCTAGGAAAGGACTGCTAACATTGTTGTAACTGCTGACCCGAGACTAGTACGTTAGCGAAGGACAATGGAGAAGGGACGTGAGCAGCCCTGGCAGCCACTCCCACTCTCCCAGCGTGAACACCTCCCAGGGTGGCTATCAGCTCAAGAGGAGATGCCCGGGTTTACTCAATTCTATTTTCCGCAAGATGTTACAGAAAAACCCAAAGGAATTTTTTGGCCAACCCAATAGAATGGATTTCTGACATGAATAGAGGTTCATTTTAAATTAAATCTCTCTTGTAGAGAAGACGAGGATTATAATATACAAGAGGCAAAGGACTAGGAATGCTTCAGGAAACAATGTGTCTGTGTAGGTCACAGGAGGAGGTCCCTCAGAGCCACCATGGCCGTGCTCCTACCTTCTCTTCCTCGCTCAGGGGGTCTCCGAGCTCGTCCTGGGAGAAATCCAGGAACGCCACAGAGCCGTCCATGGAGCACACCAGGATGCCCAGCCCGTTCAGAGTCCTGGAAAAGATGGCCATCAGCAGCCAGGCGCAAGCCCTGCGGTGCTCGCCCGCCACGGAGTGGCCCAGGGGAGGCAGAGTCTGGGGAGAGGCCCCCACGCGCTCATGGGGAGGCGGAGGTTGGGGCGACAGTCCCATTCTACAGAGCTCTGGGCCCTTTAGTTCTCAGCACATGTACAGAGTATCTCTCACCCTATGCTTTGTAAGAGTTTCATGTTCATTTATCTCATTTTTGAAAGCATTAAAAAACAACTGCGAGGGAGTGCACATTTAAATGAGGTCGCTGAGAAGCATGAAACAAGCGGCTTCCACAGCCGCACTACTCTGATTCACGCAGCGACAGAGCCAAGTGCAACCAGGATCATGCACTCTCCTTCCCAGACGAACACCAGTCTGTCTCAGCAGGGGTTTCCAGTAGGGCCAGGAGCACAGCACCCTGGGGTCTGTCCTGGCTGCGACACCTGGGATCCTGGCTGCCCAACCCTAATCACACCCAGGAGGCCTTGACCTCCAACATGTGGCTCCTCCTTTCCTAGACCATGCCTCGAATCGAGAATCCATCTTACCAGGAAATGTCCATGATGGATTTGTCAAACAGCTCATGGATGACAACCAAAGGCCGTTTTAGACATGTGAGCTGAAAGGAAAGGGCGGCAAAGGTTAATGAAAGAATGAGGCCCTCTGTGTCCACTCTGCTCAGCTGCCGCCACCAGATCCAGAAGGCTTGGTCTGAGCTGTGATGACACGTAGGGTGTCTTCAGCTCTACTCAGACGGCCACCACCGAGACTCTGGAACCCACGCCCGCCAAAGACACGTGTGCCAGCATGGGGTCTGCCCCTTCGGGCCTGGCAGGGCAGACAGCTGTATACACACAAGACCAGCAATGGAGGAGGGGGTTCTAGAAGGCCTACTGAACAAGGATGTGATGCCAAGGCCTGGGCAGGGAATGCAGCAGCAAAGGCAGGTCCCAGGACAGGAAAACAGCCTCAGAGAGAACCTAGCACCCCTTCTCAAGGCTCACGTTCAGGTGCATACGCATACCCAAGGCTCCATGTGACTAGTGCCACACACCACACAGGTTCATGCTGCCCTGACCCAGGCCCCAGGGTAGCCACTATTAACACTCTTCCTCTCTTCCGTCTTGGACAAATATTTTATTCTTTAAAGTAAGGCACATGGTTGCCTGCTTTTTCATTTAATGCAGAATGAGTGTGTCATCAACATCCTGTGAAAACCTGTGTCTGGGGACCGTACCCGCCGCCTTCCCCACGTGCATGTGGGTCATCTGGTCCCCTCACGTGGCCGAGCACATGTCCACACTCCCACAGCAGCAGCAGGCATAGCTCTCACACACAGGCCCTGCCTGTCCTGCCCACTGGTCCTGGGCCCCTGGGTGGCGGGCTGGGGTGGGAACATGCCTTGAGGGCAGGAGGCGCTAAGACAGCCCTAGTCCTGAGGATGGGACTGGAATCTGAGCACCTGGAACCCATGAGAACCTTGCCCCATCCTAGTTCCACTCCCCAAAGAGAACCAGCCTGGCCTTCCTTCCACAGACATGCCTACAGACCCCCCAGAAACCTGGGACCTCTGTCAACACCTGACCCATCAGTGATGTTTTGGTCAAAGTACCAGGGATGGAGCCCAGGCCCAGGGGAGCCCAGGAAGAATGCGCCTGAACCGCCTAGGACGCACGAGGTCCAGGGTCTGAAATGGGGTCACAGGATTGCTCTGTGAGAAGCAACTGTCCTAAATGCAGCCAAAGGATAACCTCCAAATCTAAAACTTCAAATCCACTCTGCTTATGGGGAAATCAATGATAAGGAATAAACTGTTGTTAACGCAACACACACAAAGCTCAACCACTTTACGCCAAGTGAAAAGAACACAAGATGCAAAAAAGTAAACACTGCACGACTCCATTCATATAAAGTCCAGAAACAGGCAAAGCTCATCCATGTGACAGACATCCTTAGTGCTGCTGCCCTGGCTGAGGGGGCGCTGGGGGCAGGGTCCTGACAGGGAAGGGGCAGGGAGCGTTCCAGGGCAATAGTTACACGGAAGTAAACACGTCTGACGACAGATGTACTGAGCTGTGTACTTCAGGTAGATCCACTATGGAGATTCTATATCTACACAAAGTTCTTTTAAAGGAAAGCCAACACAATATGCCAACCGTGGCCCTGACTACTGAAGGTATGATCTGGGTCTGGACACAAGAGCTGCTCTGGCTGGGTGGCAGGGTGGCCTCTCCTGGCCAGGCCCAGGTTCAGGGCAGAAACACTCACTGAGCACCACCAGAAGTGGGGGGTCTCTCCTCTTTCAGGCACCCCCTCCCCGCAGAGCAGCGAGCTCACAGTAGGGCTCACCCAGACAGAGAGCGAGCGGTCCTTGCTGCCGACAGCACAGCAGCAGTACGGGCAACTGGGCTTCGCAGAGCTCCCGTTCTTCTGCTTCTTCTTGAAGATTTTTGGGTTGAATTTCTAAAACCAAGTAACAAGGGTTAATTAGTAATTAATCAAGCATCAAGCACGTACCCTACGCCAAATATGAGACATACCAGGATCCCAGCCTAGCAGGTGTCCCCCAGCCCCGGGCACCGGCACGCGTCATTGCGCTTTCACAGCTACCCAGCAGGCCTTGTGCTGAGAATGACACGTGTCCTAATCAAAGTCTGGTTCTGGTGACATTCATCACATTAAATAAAATATTAACTTCATATTCATCACGTCCACTTGCCAATAAAGCACATGGGTATGTATTCTATTTTGTATAACTAGTTTAAAATATTGAAACATTAAGTATTTAAAATGAAACAAGAACCTAACAACGTGTGCTGAATCTCAGAGGCCACCATCTCAGTCCAACACATGACCCAGGACGGGGGAGCACGGCACTGCCCAGGTTCTGAGGGTCCCACTTAGGGCGGCGCTGATGGCCGGCCAACCTGAGGCCAAGTGGACTCACCACGACAGTCACAGCTTTCCGGTGCCCGACAAAATCCATGTTGGTCTTCCAGCCCTCCCGTTCGATGATCTGGGCGGTGGGGCCGGAATTGTTCATGGCGTGGGCAGACACCAGGTAGTGCCCGTCAGGGGACCAGCTGAGCCGCAACACGTGGGTCGTCCCTCCACACTGCAAGAAACGTCTGTGCTCGAAAGGAGCCCAAGGCCAACTCTGTGACCAAAATTGGCCCCAGAAATCAAACTGAGCTCTGATGTACAAATTCACGATGGTGGAGCACACCCAAGCTGCTGGCTACAGGGCCAGCTTGACTCCAGTCTCTCTGGGTGAGCTGACAGCGGGGCCGTCAGGAGACCGGTAGGGGCGCCATTCTACCCTCCCCCACTGCACGGCGGCACAGGCTGAGGGGATGGCTGGACGGCCACCTCTTTCCACTGTCAACCCTATCTGGGCCAAATCTATCTGACCACAGACCCCTTCTCCTTCCTACCCAGCACTGGGGAACCCCACAGGAGGTTTGCAGACCACGTGTTGCTGCGGAGAAAGAGCACTGCTGACCCTCGGAAGCCTGGTCACAAGCCTCTCTCTACACTGCAGACAGTGACCACCAGGCCCCACCTGCTCTCTGAATCCTGTCTCCTCGCCCAAAGCCTGGTGACGCCACCAGCCAAGGAGAAGAGGTTTGTAAAGTCCATAGAAACCATAAATGGCACAAGAGAAAGGCACTGTTCCCCTGACCCAGGCAGAGGCAGGGCACCTCTTCACACCATGCCTCCTGCAAAGTGAGATGACATTGGCTAAAAGCCAGCCCCTGAAGGTCAAGGTCAGTCCAGGGCAGTCCGAAAGGCTTAGGGGTTAAGATCCAGGCTGCGCAGGCCTTGGGGAAGGCAGGACAGGGCAGGGCCCGAGCGCAGCATGGGGACACACCTGCCTCCACTGCCAGCCAGGTCCAAGCCAAGGCAGGACAGCCCCCCCAGAGGCTGAAGAGTGCTGCCAGCTCCTGCAGGATTCCAAACATTCCTGTCCTGCCCTTCCCCCGCCCCGCAGCCGCCCCAGGAGCCCAGTGGCTCTCCACAAAGCCTGCAGCCCATGTCCTCTCACACTAGGTGGCTGCCAAGGAGGGCAGAACTAAGTGAGGTAAGGACCAGGCTCATGGATCCAGTTCAGGAACTTCTGTGCGTTGGGGGACAGCTGAACATGTGATACCCACTTTTCTCCACAGCCAGCCCTGACCAGTGGGCAGGTGTCTATTCTTCCTGCAAAACTTCGTACTCAGGTCCCTTCCTCCAAGAAGCCCTCTCTGACGTGACCACCACCTACCCCCAGCCATTTCTGCCCACTCTGGATAACTCCATCTCAATCCACGTTCATTTCCTGTACTCAGGACAGCCGTACACACAGGAGGCACTCAAGAAATGTCCACTGAATAGTGGCGACCTTGAGCTCTGGTCCCACGTGAAATCAGAACTCAAATGAGGGAAGAGATGGTAAAATACTACACAAGCCAGTGCAGTCCAAGCTCCAGATGTTTTGCAAACTGGACTGTTAACGCCTTCCACAGGAGCCGGCTGGCCTGCAGAGCGAAGGTCAGCAATCACGGCCCAGCGCCCTCAGGAAGACACAAGAGCCTCCTCCACCCTCTACGTCCCCCACAACCCAAGGGGCAGTGTGCTGTAAACTCTTCAGCTTTAACACCTACAAGCCTTTTCACTACAAAGGTGGATGTTTAATAGCTTCTGAGAAGTGAATGATTTTCATCACCTGACTCTGGGCTCCCCGACCACGTCTGGACCCCAGGCAGCCCCTGCTCCGTGTGGGAGGCAGGGGGCGGGGGTGGGGGACCTGCCGGGCCTCTTACCTCATCGAAAGGCTTGGTGATGCTGGTCTCTAACTGCCAGTCCAGCGTCCTCCACACCTTCAGGCTGCGGTCGTCAGCTTGAGAGGCAATGTATTTACCAACAGGGTCCCAAGTCAGGCCCTTCACCAGGCCAGAATGGCCTCTCAGAGTAGCTAGGATTTCTGTGAGGACAAATAAGTGAGGTTGGAAAGGCATTACCAAGGGGAAAACAGTGACTCTGTCTAGAAACGGGCCACGGGTCGGCCGGCCAACAGAAGGGGCTTCAGGAGTTGCCCTGGCCAGCCCCACCCCTGGGCACAAGCAGAAGAGTCTGTTCTCACCCAAGAGGTGGGCACCACCCATTTCCCTCCAGCCAAGCTGACACGTATGGGTTGAGGCTGCACATGCCCTCAGAGGGGCAGGCAGCCAGGGCCAGAGCTGAAAGGCGCCGCGTCACCTTGCCGGCAGCCGCAGCCCTGCCCATGATTTCTTTTCCAGACAGGAGCCCGTGCCCATCCGAGCCCTCCCGATGTGACCCTCCCTGGGGGACCGGGCCTGCGCTGAGTGAGTCCTCTGCTCGTCATCACTGAGGACAAAGGGGAGGGAGCTTGGACCCCAGAGAGCTGTAAGCTGAATGACACCCCAGCCACGGTGGCTGGGCCGAGTCCCCAAACACGGTGGAAGCTGATGAAGAGAGCAAGTGACCGGGACCCGAGCCTATGAGAAGAACACGCTCCTGTCACCAGGCAGGGACTAGAAGCATCTCACTGGCTACAAACCGCAGTGCCATCCCAGGCTCTGCCATCGGTAGGGACTTCAAACACGTTAACAGAAAAACTGATCTGCAAAACTGGATCTATTAGCCTGCTCATGCTCGAGGGCATCACAGAGGAGACGGCTACTGGGCTGAGGCCAGAGCCCGGAGTGGGAGGGCGCACCCTCAAGGGCAGCTGGCTGGGCTCCCAGTGCCAGGGGTCCATCCGCACAGCCTGCAGCAGGGACACCCATGCCGGCACTTGGTTACTATTATTTTTCTTTAATGTAAACTTCTCTTTAAACCTTAAATGTGATTGATAAAGAAGACCTGAGTTACTGACAAGACAGGCTGGCTGCCACCAGCCGAGGAGACCCAGCCCACCCGTTCCAGACACCGCCGGGCAGCCCCACGGAAAGGCCGCCCGGGCACAGGTGCGGACCTGGGAACTTCACTGCGTTCCAGATGACCACGGTGTTGTCCACACTGCACGAGGCCAGCCAGGCGTCATGGGGGGACCACGCTACGTCCATCACATCTGGAAGACAATGGCCAATGGTGAGTCTCTTTCCTGGTGGTGGATATGGACACGGCGCAGCTCCACCCTGCCAGCTGGCCAGTCAGCAGCCCCCTGGCGTTCTCACACCTGAGGAGACTTGACCTGAGACCGTCATAACTAGACTTTTCCAAACCAACCTGAAGAACTTCCCCACTAAGGTTCTGCAATCAGTCCTAAGATCTGAAGCATCTAACGGCCCCACCCAACTCCCTTCTGACAAAGCACTGAGGGCCTGGCCAAGAGTGTGGCACTCGTGCCACTGCATGGCTGGGTCTGCAGCCCTTGGGCCGGCTGAGCCACCTTCTCCAACCCTAACCCGGCCTCATCAGAGCGCGGCGTGACAGCCAAGGTCTCCCTGGTTTCTCCAACCTCAGTGCCTGATGTGGCACCGGGAGTGCGGAGGGATGGCTGGTGAGGTGAACAAACAGAGAGAGCAGCCAGTCAGGAGCCATCTAGTCCTTTGCTCACAGGATGATTTAAATCTTCAGAGTCAGCTCGACAAGACGGCCCACGCGGGCAGCACCGTGATCTCCCGTGTGTGCGCCAGTGCTGAGCACGAGCCCGGGCCCCGCTGTCCTGCTCCGCGTTGCGTGGCTGAGGGCACTCGAGACCCGGAACAGACCTAACTCAGCAGTGGACTTGGACCAGGTTCCAGTTCCTCATGCCCATAAGCACACGTGCCCACGTCATTCTGCACACCCCGGGGCGTTTGTTTGAGATGGATGCCGCACCGTGGGAACCTGGGCGGAGCACCTGGGCATTTTCATGAGTCTGGATTCTTCACATTTCTACTAGCAGAATGTCCTTTTCAAAAGTCCCTTTTTAGCTTGAGGATTATGATTTTTTCCCCTTCTAACTTATTGAGTACATTTTTATGTTTGAAGTTCCACTTTAATTCGCAAAATGAAGACTGTGCACATTGGTGTGTCCGAAGCTGTCTTCAGGGACTCCTCTGTTCCTACCCCGTCTGTTGGGAGGTGATTTGTGCTGGCGGGTCTAACGAGAATGCAGTGTCTGCTAAAGGAGGCACAGGAACCTCTTCTGGGGCTCAGAGCGTGGGTGGGATTGGGGGGCAGCCGTGCAAACCACAGACCCCCCTGTACTTCCTGAGTCCTAGAGCAGAGACATGCTCACCTGAGACTCCAGAAAGGAGACCGGTTTTCTTAGCAATTTCCATGGACTATGGACAATACAGACCTTAGCTGCAAATTCCATCAGTTTACCTTCCTATGCTGTAGAAGGTTTATGTAGTAAAGTCAGTTTTTCTCCTTTGTTGTATTTTTAAAAATGATTTCTCTTATTGCTTGTTAACTTTGAAAAAATATTCCCTCTGCTGGAGGTCTAATAAATATTCAATTCCGTTTTCTCTTGCTTTATTTAGAACATTTCTTTAATACCTGGAATTTATCATGCTGTCTTTAGCTAAGGCTCTACATTACCTTCCTTTCACCCACGAACTGCTGAATGGCTGGTTACCCTGCCACGTGTGGGGAATGAATCTTGCCTTCTGTTATCGGTCATAGGTGCCGCCTTCACAACACACCAAGCTGTCAGGAGCACTGTAGTCTCCTTCAACGTTGTTAACTTTGTTTGAATGAGTTCTCCCACGTCCTGAGTCATCCTTCCAGACACCCTTTGGAGTCACTGCTGAGTTCTGCAGTAAATCCACACATGTGACATGACTTCCTCCCCAAACCCGTTTTGGAGCTTCTGTCTTCAGACCATACAACGCCCTTTCCTTCTTGCCACAGCTCTACACACACCTGAGACCCTCCCTGTCCTTGAAGATGTAAGTTTCTGGTCACTGTCATTCCCGTCATCTCTCCAACATCATTCTTGGTGATTCCAAGAGGATGATTTTTCTAACACCCTTAAAGTCCTCCACCTACTCCAATGACCTTGGTTTCTGGCCTCAGCCATAGTTCCCACAGTCATGCCCAGAGACCCTCCCTGACAGAGCACTGCGACCCCTCCCTGGTCTTACTGCCCCCCTCCCCGCCGCCACGTCCCCCGCTCACTCTCCGATGGGTCTTCCAGCCGCTATAGCCCTTCCGTCTCCTCAGCGGGCCTGGAGTCCATCCTCCCCTCAGCTCTTCTGCTGTCTTTCTTTGCAGGCGCCTGACAAGACCAGCTGGGTTCCGTCCAGCTCTCTCCCCCGGTCTTTCCTGAGCGCCCGCCAATTAGGCCTTTACCCGGCTTCACCAACAGGAACCACGCTTGCCAAGGCCACCGGCGGCTTCCATGCCATCCAGTCCAGCAGCCGATCCTCGGTGCTCACTCGACCGTGAGGCAACGTGGGGCACGCTGCTTGCTCTTGCCTCCTTCAAACGTTCTCTCCACCACCTTCACTGGCTCCCCGGCTCAGCCGCACCCCAGGCTCCTCCCCTGTGCTCCAGGCTCACCCCCCAACAGCCAGCCCGCAGGTCCACTCACCCTGCTGCCAGGCACTGCGGACCCAACAATGTCCACTCACCCCCACACCTCAAGTGAGGAACCTGCATCCCTCCCGCTGCTCAGGCCACAGTCTGGGAAGCCGTCCCACCTCCTCTGGGGCCTCACCTCACTTCCCACCCTAGGGAGTCTGTGTGACCACCTGCCCTGACTTCCACCATGACGACCCACGGCCCCCGACAGGCTCTCACCTAGATCACATCACTGGTCTCCCCAGTGCGGCCTCGGCCCCCCACCATATGGGCTCCATACTGCTGCCCAGGCCTCCACACTGCTCTGCCTCACTCAGACGAGAGCCCCTCCCGGCCCCCTCCCCTCTGCATTCCCCCCCCGCCCTGGTCCCAAGCCCACGTCTACACTCCATCTGCTGCCCCAGTTGCTCCCTCCACCTGGATAGCTCTCTGCAGGTCCACACGGTTGTCCCCTCATCGCCATCTGCTCAACCCCTGGACGCTACCTTCTCAGTAAGACCCTCCTTGGGAATCTGAGTAAAACTGCACTTATCTCTTTCTATCATTAGATATTCCAATTGGCTATGACTAGTGAAAGACAGATAATTAAACATCTTCTTATATGAAGCCAATTCAATGACTTATTTTTATTAGTCTGAAGTGCTTTTCAATGCTTTATAAGTCCTAAAAGCTTTATTCCTCATATCATCTCATTTTACTATTGTTTTCCAGTTTGTCAACCTACTTCTTTTTCTTTTCTCTCTTTTTTTGGCCGCGCCACATGGCTTGTGGGATCCTTGTTCTCTGACCAGGGATTCAACCTGGGCCCCGGCAGTGAGAGTGCCGAGTCCTAACCACTGGACCGCCAGGGAATTCCCTGTCTACCTTCTTCAGATTCTGCTTAACTGTACTGCAGAAATTCCAAAATAACAAATGCGGTGATAGCACCCATGTTTGTCTTTTCTCAGTATCAATGGGAACAAGGCTCAACTGTGAACTATAATATGTGCGCATGGTTTAAAAGACACAGGGCTCTATCATGGTAGGAAAACAGCTTTCTATGGCCATTAAAGAAAACTATTTTTATTAGCAACTGATGGTGCTACCAGGACCACTGCAAAAGGAGTGGCAGGTATCCCCACTGAAGGTGGGCATCCCTACCTGCCTGGTCGAGGAGAGCCCTGGGGTGGTGGGCCAGGAGGGAGGGCGAGGTTATGGCTCAGTCCAAGTCTCAGGTTAGGGGCCCCATGAAAGTCGTCACTCAGGCCCCACCCCACTTGGATAACCTCATGGATACCTTGTCCAAGTTCCAGAGAAGCCCAACTAGACTCCACTGTGAGCACCTGCCAGCAAGTTAGGGTAAGTTACAAATTTTTACTGTTATCAAAGATAACACAATGTTACACTATCAGCTTTCAAAGATGTGGACTCAATTTGTGGTCTCTAAGAGGTGGGTCTGTTCACCTTTAAAGTGTCATCTGCAGAGTGGGTGTTGAGCACAGACTGGACCATAGCTGATTCTCTCCTGCCCCATCTCCGCCCCCCCAGCCCCCGAGTGGCAGGCTCAATTCCAACCAGCTCGGGACACCCCCCAAACCCAGCACATCCTGCACTGAACTGGCATCCGGCCCCATAAACCCATGGTCGTATGGTCTCAGCAGAGGATACCGCTGGCTCCCCAGGCACCCAGCTAGGGGTCTCCCTCATGCCTCCCTTTGCTCAGCCCTTCAAAGTCCCCAGGTCAATCTCTTCCTCTCTCTCAATGATCACAGGCCTAGTTTGGGCCCTTGCAGTTTTCATCTGAACCCCTGAAACTGCCTTGTTTTCCGTAGGGCTGTCAGATGATCCCCCTCTCAGGCCTCCATGACAAAGGGCACCCTCATTAGCAGGAGCACAAGCCTTCCATGACCTGCCCTCACACACTTAGCCAGCCCCACCCCGCGCCGCTTGCTGCCGTGCAGTACACGTCCAGCGGGGTTACATGCTGCCACCTCACCACTGGCACCAAGCCTTTCTGGCTTCTGCTGGCCCCTGCCTGGCACACCCTCCCAGCTATTCCCGGCTAGACCGCAGGTTCTCTGAGGAAGACTGAATTGCACTGACTCTGGTATCCCTGGCATCTGACCAAGTGCTGTCAACTTCAGTCCAAATCTGAAAAATGAGTTTCTTTCCATACCAAGCCTATTTAAAACACTTTGCAAACACTCTCAAAGTCAAGTAAAAAGCTTTCCAGTGGGCCCCCGTGTGCGGGTTTCTGTGGAATAAAGAAAGTGCGCTTACGGACTTAGCGATCCACTGATGGAGGTAGTGACTCAGTTCCCAGGATAAACAGCGGAACGTGGGGAGTTCTACATTAAAGATATAAACATACAGCCCATGAGGGCAGGAGTGGGGACACTGACGCAGCTGGAGGCAGGCAGCGGGGAGGGGAGGGGTGGCCCAGACACAGGGCTGCTCTAAGGACCCACAGTCCACAGGGGCCGTGGAGGTGCCGCTGCTGCTCTCGGCCACCGCCGGGGCGCCCACCCCATGGGCAGCCCACTCACCGCCTGAGTGACTCCGCAGGATGGAGACACATCGCCACTGCTCCACGTTGGCAAGCTTGCCACTGGAGCCGAACACGGTGCTGGGGCCGATGTACCTGTGTGAGAGAGGAGTCAGAAGGGCAACCGGGGACTTCCGGGCAACGCAGAGACAAAGCAGACAGACAGCGGCTGGCGAGTGCCAAACGGGTGAACAATGGGGGCTGACTGGGCAAATTATGATCTGTTCACTGGATGGAACGCTACACGGCCTACACCAATCTTGGGAAAACGTCCGTGGGATAGAATTAAGTGAAGGCAACAGGTCCCAGAATGTCATATACAACACGATACCATACATCACCTATGCTGGAAAATGGACCAGAAAGACACACGTGAAAAATACAAAAATATTAACTGTGGCTTCCTTTAGATGGTGGGATTATGATTTTTTTCTCTTCAATTTTCCAAACTGTATACTAAATACGTTATTTATGTTGGCTAAAGCAGCAGAAGCAACACTATTTTTCAAGCCCTCCTGTAAGGACTTGAACGCCTCTGCCTGAATACTGGGGCAGGGAAAGCACTGGAACTGGGGTGCTCGCTCCTGGGCCTTGAGCAGTCATGGAGCCCTGCAGACATGGCACCAACACCTCGGACCCCCAGAGGCTCTGTTAACACCCTTAGCTCCTGCAGAATTCTTTCAAACCTACAGGAAGGGCTCGCGGAGGCAGCTGGCTGGGCTGAAGGAGACAGTGCGCCTCTGCTCGCCAAGCCACAGCCTTGGGGACACTCTGGCTGAGCAGGAGGGTGGGGTCTGGTCCCCAGCCTGGCTGGCCCCAAAGGCCCAGGACCCACCCTAGGAGACTCCAGGAGATGGTCAGTTCATTGTGGGTGCAGAGCAGGGGCTTTCGGGGAAGGTGGGGCTCCTGGGAGCCCCAGGTAAAGCTGACAGAAAACGAGGTGAATGGCAAGAGGGCACGCTCTAGATCCCCCACCCCAGATCCCATCAGAGCACCTTGTGTGTTAGGAAATTTCACTTGAAGGACAAAACAAATGAAGCCATCAATGTCAGCCCTCGAAGGGACGAGCCCTTCTTTTTCAGGTGAAACCCTGCAGCCCTGTGAGGAGTGCTGAGCAGGTCCACAGGCAGGTAGGTGGCCACCCACTGCCCTGGTCAGGCCCCGGCTGCCCCTGCCTACATGTGCTTCCTGGTACTCATCGAGTCAGAGCTCTGGAGACCTCAGGGCCAGGGTGGGGAAAGCGACTGTGATAAAGACCAGCAAAGAAGCTTCTAAAAATAAAATGTGAAGTAAAGAAAATGATGCTTACGTAGCCCGCTTCCACACCATAATCAGTTTGTCATCTCCCCCAGAAGCTAAATACATCCCACTGTTTGACCACCGCACACAGTTCACACATGCTGGGAAGAAAAAAAAAATAGGGTGATGAAAATCCAGTCGCCACGCTCATTTGCTTTGTGCAGTTTGGCAAGATGCAGAGGGTTTACAAAATCTAATCTATCTGATCTACTCAAGGTACCTACTGTGTGAGAGCCCCAGAAGAAAAATTCAGTTCACGCACCAACCTACTTGTGCTGTAAGAACAAATACCAGAGCAAAGTCTGGAGGGGAAATGCTACGTCATCTGAGAAGCATTAGTGCTTAATCAAACAGTCAATAGGAGAAGGCTTCTTTCCATGAAAACTGGTAAGTAACTAAATCTCAGGGCTGTCGAATGATGAGATGTATTTCTGAGTAGGGATAATTCTCAAAATGAGGGCATGTACTAAAAAGGCCAAGATGCCTTTCCCAGAACTTTCAGGGGAGCAGCTTGGTAGAGCATAAAACTTTGACTTCAAGCCACCTACCAGCTCTTTTTCCAAACTTGTCAACACTGCAGGTAGACTGGTCCTGCACTTATAAACTAAGGCCAGGAGAAATCCCTGTTGGCCCTGATGGGTCAAGAGCCTCTGGAGCCCCACAGCAGAAGGGACATTATCCAAGATGTGGTCCACACGTGGCCTGCGGGCACCTTGTGTTCTGGGGTGGAGGACGCCAAGGGGTGTGTCGGGAGAGCAGGAACACATAGCACACAGGGAGGGGGCATAACTGATAGTGGAGCATCTCAGTGGGCAGCTAGGTTGGAAACCAGAGCCTGATGCTCAAGGGCAGGAAACTAAGGCACTACAGCAGGAAAGGAAACTACAACACTGTCCAGTGGCCACAAGGGCCTGGCAAAGGGCCCCAAGTGACACGGCAGCCATCTGAGACATTTGGTGAGCTGTCTTTTGTGCACCCTTCCCCGGAACCCTACTGCTTCCAGGTCGCTGGCCCCAAAGCCCCATGGAATCAGGCAGTAACGACTCATGAGCAGGAAATCACCAGAGGTACCTGCAGACTGTCCAAAGATGGTTCTGTGGGCAGGCCGAGTCTTCTGCTGAATAACTCACCCAGGTGTGCAGCCAACATCTGTGCCTTCAGACAGCAGGCCGAGGGGAGCTACCGCCGCACGGGCCTTATCTCTCTAATTACAAACACACGTGCTAACCTTGGGCACTGTGCCAACACGCAAAGCCTGCAAAGGGCCACCCTGTAATACCTAAGTGATTGTCCATCTGGCAAAGCATCTTGGGGACATTTTCATCCTTCTCGTCATCCTCCTGGAGGACTGGAGACATATTCCAGATTACAACCTTCCCAGAATCCTGTCCTGGAAAGAAGGAGCAGAAACAACTCAATGTGTCAGGAGTGGCAATAGGAGCCTGTGACC